GTCCCTTTAGCGAGTTGATATAACACAACGCTCGATATTACTATGTAAATTCATTATATCTTATGAAAGTATTTGTAAAACAAACGAACATCTTGTAAAATATATAGTGAAACCAAACAGATAAAACAAATGGATATAGTGTAAAATAAATGTTATTGAAGCCTGTAAAAATGTGATTAGTTAACTAAAAATAAATCTAATGTAATTTAATATATTTAATAATATGGTTCTATCGCTTCCCGCCATTTGAAATATAGTTTCCAAAAATGGCGAGATATACTGGAGCTTAAAAAAATGCTGAAATGTTACGGCAACTTAAGAAATAGAAACAAAAAACAACACAAAAACATTTCATATCGTATCATGTCTTTATGAAGAGTGGTTAATTTTTTTTTTTTTTTTTTGAACTCCAAAAGACTGAAATTTAAAGAGACTACGTATTTTGAATATATACACGGGAGTCCTCGACTTACGACAGAGTTCCGTTCCTACGATTCATCGTAACGAGATTTTCCGTGTAAGTCGAAACGTACCCGCGATTTTCCGTGAATAAGCACTTACGTCACTCACTTATGCTAACACAATAGTAAAGTAACAATCTAGGGCATAACAACACATTTCTATGACATATCTTAACATAAATAGGACTAAAAAACACGTGAAGGACATACATATAATGAAATGAAATAAAAATATGAAATTAAATTGTCTTAAGTTACTTGTATATTTATTGCCAATGATGTCTTTGGCTTTTAGTACATCAGATGACGAGGCAAATGGCGTGTTGAAACAAGATTAATGGAGATAGTGTGGTAACCACGACTCGTCGTAGGTCGGGACTATTGTAACCCGCTGGAAAACCGGAAACCAAAATGGCTGCAATTGAAAGAAAAAGGAAAAAATGAAAAAGAGTGAAAAGGTAAAAAAAAAAAAAGAAATACGGATTGAATGTAAAGTGAAAAAAAAAGATGGACAAAGGACAAATAACAAAGACGCACATCTGCACAGACGGGCACATGGGTGCACGCGCGCGAATGCTGACACGCACACATGCACAATAAAAAAAATTTGGCATCAATGAAAAGTGCATATAACAAAAAAAAAAATAACCCCTGATGAGTGGACGGAGTGAATCTCGAAGGGCCGATCTAGGAAACTCTGGAGTCAAGATGCTGAAGGTAACATCTATCAGCTGACAAACCTTCTATTATATATATATATATATATATATATATATATATATATATATATATATTGTATTCCATCCACAGACTGTTTCGCTGTATCACAGCTCATCAGTGTGGCTAGACGTCCGGTTGCCTCTAGCTAGGATAGAAATGAAAGATAGTCCACGTGTGCTTCTTAAAATATGTACATTCAATAGGCCGCTTAATACAACTTGAGGAATGAAAAGCCAACAAAACGATAACAACATTGGCAATAAGATTGATGATATTTATTATATATTAGCCTTTTGAGTTCTGACTAAACTGACGTAAAATGAGAAATATTTTAAAGTCGGAATTTTCGTACACGCCTGTGTCCGTTTTCAACGAGACGATTTTTATTCCTCAAATTTTATTAACAGAACTATTAAATCCACACACACACACAAACACACACGCACACACACACATACACACACACATATATATATATAAATCTATAAAAAGACGTATAAACATAAAAAATGTCTTTATATATATATATATATATATTATATGTATATATAGACTCTCCAGCCGGATTGAGTTTTCTAGGTCACTAGCGTGCTTATGAAAAAATAAATACGCAAAAATTCGCCTTTTTCTCTACCGGGCGCCGATAGCCTAGTGGTTAGCATTCACCGATTAAACCGATGAGCTGTTATACAGCGAAACAGTCTGTCTGTGGATGACTAAATATATATATATATATATATATATATATATATATATATATAGAGAGAGAGAGAGAGAGAGAGGGGGAGAAAGATTATACATAGAGATACATTTTTTTCTTTATTCGTTCGTGTTTTCTCTCTACCTTCCCTTTCTCCTTTAGTTATTAACCATTTTATTTAATATATTTTTATTATTTATTCTTTTTCATTTTTAACATATAACTGATTGTTGTAATTTGTATTACTGACATCTTCCGGTTCGTTTCCGACGTAATGGGTTTAAAAAAAAGTGTCAAGCACTGCCGCAGGTTACGGGAGTAATCGAACGTTTTGTGATTTTCAAAAAAAAAATGTCTGCCCCCAATACGTCAAACAATATTAGGCAAATGAATGACAAAGTCCAAAAATTATGTGTAACGCGTTTCGTCTTCATGTAGACTTGACGGTATCCCCGCAAATGTCATAAAGAAATGTATTCCTTTATTGTCTCTTGTTCTCTCCAAACTTTCCAACAAACCCATTGCTGCTTCTTGCTGTTGGAAATGCTCTTCTGTAGTTCATGATTTTAAGAACGCTGGTAGACCTCTCGAATTATGGTTCTATTGGTCTGGTATTTCCTTTTGGTTCTAATCAATTCCGAATTGGCCAAGCATTTCACTTCACATGACCTTCTTTCAGATAAACAATATGGCTTTCACTTCTCTAGATCAACTACCGACGTGTTAACGGTTATTGCTAAATGTGTCTATCAAGCTTTAGATAAGAACATCGAAGTTCAGGTTATGGCTTTAGATATCTCTAAGGTATTTAACAGGTTTGGACATCCTTGCCTTCTCCACAAGCTAAAGAGCTATGGTATCCCTGGCCAAATACATGACTTAATTCAATCATTCTTAACAAATCATGTAATGAAGGTCGAGTTAATTCAATCGTTCTTAACAAATCCTGTAATGAAGGTCGAGTTGAATGGCCATAACCCGAACCTCGACGTTCTTATCTAAAGCTTGATAGACACACTTATCAATAATCGTTAACACGTCGAAAATGACCTCCAATCAGTTGTTAACTGGGGCAAGAAATGGCTTGTAAATTCTATGGCCTCTAAAACAAAACTGCTAACTTTTAATCGTCATAGAGAACCATTTTAGCCTTTGTTCAGAATGGCCGATGCTAATCTCCAGGAGAGCAACCCCTTGCGACTTCTTTGTTTCACATTTTCCAGTGATATGAAGTGGATACATTATATTGAATCAATTGCCAGTTTGGTTCACTGTGTTGTGGAAGACCATTTTTCTCGCCAGAATCCATCTTGCTAATTTATAAATCTACCATTCGTCTGTTCATTGAATATTGCTTCCATATCTGATCTGGTGCTCCTATTACATATCTCGAGATTCTTAACAAAATCCAAAGGATCTCTTTCCGTCCTAACCTGGCATCTCGACTTCAGACACTTTCTCAACGTCGTGTAGTGGCTTCCCTGTCTTTTCTATAAATGTTTTCATGATAGTTCTCCTCCTTTGTGCCTCGAGCGCATGAATTTAAGTACGGTGGAATAATGGAAAGTGGTTCGGACTGAGGAATCGGAGAGCCGAGTTCGAATTCCAGTCGAATCCATTACTTCCACTTACGTACTAATAGCCTTAGGAAAGGTATGAATCCTCTTTATCGCCCCTCCCTCTGGCTATAGGTAAATAGCAGGACAGACCTCGTTCCATAGCCTTGGATGGCAACTGGTCTACGGCAGTAAGAAATGGCAACCTACTGCGGGAAAAAAAATCTGGCTCGTCAGTCAGGTATCGAAATATACATGATCGCCTAAGCGTGTATCACGCATGGAACATAACTGACTGTATCAGTCAAGGGAGGTAAACAATATTGACATTTTCTGTTATCTTTTATTTATAAATAATATTCCTAAATAGCAGCTCAGATTGAGGAATCGGAGAGCCGAGTTCGAATTCCAGTCGAATCCATTACATTCATTTACGTGCTAATACCCTTAGGAAAGGTATGAATCCTCTTCTCCCCCCTCCCCAGCTATAAGTAAATAGCAGGACAGACCGGTTTCCATAGCCTTGGATGGCAACTGGTCTACGACAGAAAAACTACTGCGGGAAAAAAAAATCTGCCTCGTCAGTTATGTATCAAAAGATATATGATCACCTTAGCGTGTATTACGCATGGCACATAACTGACTGATAGTGGATATGGCATTGGGGTCTTCTCCGAACGTGCTCTCTACATACGTTTGTTTTACAAGCGTACACAACGTACACTACGTCTTTATATGTCGAGTCAGCCGCTAACATCGGGTGAAGCACGGATGCCCACCCCGTTTAGGGGGTTATCTCTCAGGTTAAAACTTCACCTGGCTTTTCTGAGTGACACTTTAGCATCCCGCTACCACTTTCTTATCAACGTTGAATTTTATTCAGCTTCATACAGATTTTCAGGAAATATCAACTTCTAATTGGTCAATACGCCCAAGTGGGCGTGGCCATCCACCCACGTACAAATATTTTTCAAGCGCGTGTCCAAGTCAAGTTTCCCGCCAATTTTCTGCGATCCTGTCACGTGGTTACATCAATTATAAACAGCAGACACGAGCTCTCTCTCTCTCTCTCTCTCTCTCTCTCTCTCTCTCTCTCTCTCTTCTCGCTACAAGATGTAGTTGTAAAAAGGATCTCGTCTCGACCATGTGCGATTAGACGTTAAAAACATATGCACGTACGTACGAAATTTTCCAAACTACAATACAAACATTTCCAAACAAGCAACAATAAATTTTTCTATTTTAAATATTTTTCGAAAGCTACAGTTTATTCACCATTTTCATCTTTATATTTCATTCAACTTTTTTGAGCTCAGATAAAATGAATTAATTCAATCTAAAGGACATAACACCAACACAATAGTAAACTCTATGCATGTACATCATTTACACAAAAATAAATATAAATGTTGTTTGCTTTAAAACCTTTTGTTCCTTCTTGCCTTTCATATTTTGGGGTATTTTATGTTAAATATAAATCGTATGGTCATGTTTTTCACGCAGCAATAAACAGACATCTACAAATGGTCCATTCTTATTAACATACCTCAACAATACTAAGGCTTATGACCATATCACGTTGAATCACCAGTCCTCGTACAAATCGCTGTAGTTAAACAACGTCGAGCCTGGTCAGTACCTAGATGGGTGACCACTCGAGAATACAAGGTGCTGTAAGTGTGTAATGGATAACAGCTCAAAATTGGAATCTGGATATCCGAGTTCTAATTCCAGTCGGGTTCGTTATATTACTAAAATCCTTGGGAATGCTATGAATCCACCTCTTCTCTCACCAACTATGGGTTAGTTATTAAGACTTGTATCAATAATTGTTATCTCCCAAAATTTCTTACAGTTTAAAAAATATTTGCTGGCTTTAAATAACCTTCAAAATGTTAATAAGCCGTAAAAACGAAATGAACCAATAATGAATGACACTAAGTGTAAAGTCTATTTTAATATGATCTGAGGTGAGTCACACACTTAAGTTATTTATCAAAAGGATATTTTCACTAAAACTATTGTTTACATCGTTGGCATTAGGAATGTTTAATTTTAACTTCGTTTTTTTTTAGATTGATTTTCGTTGTGTATTTATATTGAGTCACCACAAACGCACTTTCTGTATTTGTCCTTGGATGGCATCAGAAGAATTTAGTTTTAATTAAATTCATTCTCGGATTGAGGAATTGGAGAGCCGAGTTCGAATTCCACTCAAATCCATTACATTCACTTACGGGCTAATACCCTTGGGAAAGGTATTAATCCTCTTCTCCCCCCCCCCCACAGCTATGGATAAATAGCAGGACAAACCGGGCTTTATAGCCTTGGATAGCAACTTGTCTACCGCAGAAAGAAATAGCAATCTACTGCGGGAAAAAATCTGCCTCGTCAGTCATGTATCATAAGATACATAATCGCCTAAGCGTGTATCACGCATGACAGATAACTGACCGATCCTCATAAACTGCGCTCACACAACTCCCAATTCGACCTGGAGATGTTGAGTCAATGATAAAAAAAAACACCCATCCCCCAGCAGCATGGACCACTTGTGGGTATGTGTCGAACTGAAAAAAAAAATAAAATAAAATAAAAATACGTACAATGACTGAAATTATGAAGTCACGTGACTTGCAGGTGCAGATAACTATGTGCATACTTTAACAGTGACCTTTGAAAGAGTCTTCCCTCTCGTATTTTCCCTAAGCTCACGTGAAGCACAAGTGTCGTTCTTCAACGAGTGTACTTTTTATTAAATAACAACGTGTTTGAAGAATCTAAAAATGTAAAGTTTACCATTTTCAAGTGTGAACTATTTTTATAAGAATTTTTTACTTATTACTTTTTTTTTCATTTTAGCAGCCATGAGGCTATTTTTTGTACGGATGTTCAAAAAAGAAATAATTTTGTATTATCGACTTTTATTGTCCTTTCTTCCCTATTGGAAGAGTAATGATATATGATAATTCAATAACTTTTAAATTCAGAATAATTTTTCAAAAAACACTCATTGGGTGCAAATAAAAAAAAGCCAAGAAAATAAGGAAAACAAATAAAAGCGATGAATTTAAGTCAAAACTCAAAAGTATCATTTCAATTGTTTAAAATTTCTTTTTATACGTCTTATGTGGTATAAAAAATAAAATTATTCAATCTATATTTTATAAAAGCGTATAGATAGAATAAGAAATATTTTCTCAAACTACTGTTTAGTTTATGTGAGGTTGTTAAATTAATTTATTTTTAAACATAAATACCAGTTTTCTTTGTTTGTTTTTTGGGGGGCTTTTTTGCTTTATTGTTTCATATTTCTTTCATTTTGTTTCTTTTTCATTTTTCGCGCGCTTTTGAAATCAAGGATGAAATTAGAAAATTACCGCGGATGACCCATGACATCACAATGTGCCTCGCATGCTGCCATTCGTAAATAAACGTTATTTTCATTGTTTCATGTAAAAAGTAAACTAAACATTACTCATACTGTTATGAAGTGGAATTTCCTTCATCAGTCCAGCAGTAGTCGTTAATCTCGCATACTTATACTGAAGATATTCATTTGAACTGCTCCACGCGGTCGGATGTGGCACAAGGCCGAGTTTATTGTAGAATATCCGAGCCCGTAGTTTCGGCCAAAAATTCCCCGTAGACCCCGTAAAAAACGGGGTCGACTACCTGTCTTCCGAGACGAGACTCTGCCTTCGACATATAGACTCCTCTGGGGATCCTCTCTGCCTGGTGGCAGAGAGTTTGACAAGTGCACTTGGAAGTGAAAGCCAAGTGAATCATACTCATACTGAAAGGGAAAGCTGTCTTTACTACTTGGGCATTTATATGTCTTAACTATGTTAATTAAGCAGTTATTTTACCACTACAATTACTTTTACAAAATCTAGTTAATTAATCCTTAAATATGCTAACTGACTGTGAAACATATTTCTAGAACAAATATTGGATTTTTAAGAGATTTTCAAATTTGTTGTTTATATTCTTCGCCTACAATGGCGGTTCGATAAGTGATGAGTGAAAGAACGTTTTACTTTTAAAAATGCCTAAAAATTTATTTACATACAAAATTTACTTTTCTTTTTATACGGATTAGGAGGCTTAGGCTATTATCTTTCAAATTAAACGAAAATTTAACTTCAAAGAAGATTAAATTATTATTTTAAATGCGTTTTTCGTTTTTATTTATTTATTTTTAAGCTCGTGGTGATAGCAGGGTAAACTGGGTTCTGTAGCCTTGGGAGCAACCAGCCTGAGAGATGGAAAACATAGGAAACCACTTCACTGTTTTTCCTAAGATGTCATGTCAGTTTACTCTAAAATGAAAAGGAAGCTGCGGAGGTCCATGAACGCCTACAGGGACGTGGCATTAAAAAAAAAAAAAAGTAACATCTGACTTAACTAACACATTAAAAAAAAAACTTACAAAAAGTCTATATCTTTTGGCATTCATTGGTCTTCTTAAAACTTAAATGTTAGCTTTTTCTTCTTTTTTTTAAGTCTAACCATTTAATTTTGAAGACGTCATGAGACATAATTATCGACATTTTATCAACAAGTGACGATAATTTGGTCTCGTGACTTGGTCGTCACATTTAAAAAAAAATGTTTATAGGGCGAATTTCAAATGTTTTATTTTCTCTTGTTAATGAAATACTAGTGTTCTGAATATATTCAGAATATGAGATCAACTAAAGAAAGAAATAAAAAAAACGATTTGCTGATGTGTGTAAACTGAAACAGAAACTGTAAAAAAAAAATAAATACGGCACTTCGTCCTTCTGTCAGTCAGGATAATGCACTACAGGATTTTCCCACCAACAAACCAAGTGTCATTTAATCTGAGTGTGTCATGAACAGGTTTTAACAATAACTATGAAAACAAGCACTGTAGTTTTTCGTGTATACACATGTTCACCCTAGAATTTTAAGTAAACGTTCAAGGGTTTATTATTGTATAATATATGAAAAGTAAACTAAACTAAATAAATATTACCTTTTTTTTTCCTGGCCACGTGCGTTGCTTCGGGTCGGTATATACCCGAAAAAGTAAGTTTATCTCTGGTTCAAACAAACTAAATGTGTAAAAAAAGAAATTTAAATCATTCAAACACTACATTTGTTGTTTGTTTTGTTTTTATTTTAGTAAATATCAAATTTATACTGTTAAATTAAATTAAATAATTAAGCTAAAGCATGTTTTAATTTGCTTCACTTGTTATGTCCGTGTTGTTTAAATAGACGAAACAGACAAATAACACCTGAAATGCATTTCCATTTTTTGTTTTTCGTATTGTGAACTTAGTTTGGTCAAAAAAGCTTGTATTTTTGTGCGAACAAATCTGTCCTTTAGCTCTGTGTTTCAAGATATATAAATTCTTGTTTTTAGTCGATACAAACTGGACAAAAAATGTTAAATTTTAAAATAAAAAGTTAAACAAAGGTTAAATTCAGTAGCTACAAATTCTAAAAACTCAGTGCGCGCTATACACGATATTTTTGCCCAGAATTCTGTATCCCAAAGTTAGGGGTGCGTATTATACACGAATAAGTATGACAGGTGATTTTGTTAGTGTTCGAAATTATTTTTTGAAGAGTTTTTTTTTTTTTTTTTTAGTCCACAATCACACAAATTAATTTTTTTTAAATCTTTTTTTACATGAATAAAATAAACAAATCGTTTAGAAACGAACAATTGTTTTTCATTTTTTTTTTTTTTTTTGGTTGGGTAAGGTTTGGTTTGACATATTTTTCTTCATAAGAAAAATCAGAATATCATTTCCTTTCATGTGAACCTTTCTTTTTCAAGTTATATAATTTAAAATTATATAATCTCCCTTAGTTAACTAGTTTGAAATATAAAGCTAAAAAGATACTTTTAAAGTTTACAAACTTAATATTTATTTGTTCAATCGATTTTTGTCTGTATTTAATATTTAAACACAAACTAATTAAATATTCATCTTGTTCGTACGGTCAAAAAGTCAAAACTAAACTCGTTGAATTTGTATAAGTAACAGCACGCAAAGCAATATTTTATTAAGCAAAACATCAATTTAATAACAATATAAATTATCTAATTGTTTTTGTTAATGGTATAATTAAGATTTTTCTTAAAATAATAAACTTTTTAATTTTTTCGTTAACATTTATTTACAGAAAAAAAACATTTCCAGTTTTCTTTTTCACCATGTCTTTTTTTTTCCTATTGTTTTATTGATCAAAAGTAAAGAATTATCAGATTATCTTTAGAATCAAATATCCTGTTTTCGCTTTCTTATACAGTGTTGCTGTACTGTTAAATTTTACTATTAAATTTGTTTTTTACCCACTATTTTTGAATTACATTATGAAAAAATATTCCTCAATGGCCATGTGTACATTTTTCTCTTGTTTCTCCTCATCCTTCCATTTGAACAATAGTGTAGAATTTGGGCGAGGCACTAATTGACCAATCAGAATGGGAAGCTGATGCAATCACCGAACTAGCGTTTTATTAATCCACTAAAAATATAGTACCAAAGTATTTTTGCCTAAAACCCACCGAAAATTCGATCAGACTCGGTTCAACTGACATTATCGATAATAAAATCTTATTCAAGTTGGCAATAATCTGAATATTACATTTTATCTTTAAGTATTTCAGATTAAAGAACCCTAAAAATATGTGC